AGGGAAGAAAAAATACAAAAGAGGTAAAAAAAAAGAGGTTTATGAATTTTATCTGAAACGGGCATCAGTGTGGTCTCATCAATATTTCCAGAAGTCTTATGAAGAACCTTTCCACCTTCATACAATGCATGACATAGAACACAGACCGCACTGATACAGAGTGGAAACAGAATAATTAATAAAGTAATATTTAATTTATCTAACACCTCTCCAACGCCCCAGCTCCATCAGCCACCACTGGGAACCCCAAAGCCACTGCCACATCCTACCTCCAATCTGCAGCTCTGGACACCCCATTCTCCTCAGCTGAGTGCTCACAGAGTCAACCTCTTGGACAAGCGGCACTAAAATGGTCTCATTAATCCACTAGGAGAGAAAAAGGTGAAAATTCAAGAGGTCAGAAGCAAGAAAAATGTTAAAAAAATCCCCAACCTTTAGCTTACATCCTACTAATCGTCACCGTTAAAATCCCAAAGAGGCTTAACAACACAAACGCTGAAGCTCATCAAGGAGGAAAGTAATTAAATTAGAATATCAAGTAAGGCAGAGTTGAAATGACTTTTTAATACCTTCTAAAAGGTCAGACAATTCAATGTAAAGGAGTCAGGGAAACAAATCTCTAGAAAAGTATCAGATAATGTTTTTCTGAACAATAAGGACAGGGGTATTCTGAAGCTCCATCCATAAAGATAATTTATGCTTTGATGAGTCCACTCCCTCTCACATTTGTTTTAGGAAACGAAGGAGCTGATAAACACCACGTTGGGGCTTGGTACGTGATAGGGTTTGGGATCCGAAGCGAACTGGCCCCAGGGTTGGGAACAGATGCTCATGAATCTCGTATGGATTTCATATAAATCTTTGCTTTTTACCAATCTTATTACTTAAAAAAAACCCAAAACAAAAACACAGAAGCAAAACAACATATTTGATAGATTCTTTGCCTGAAGAGACAATTCAAAGCTAGATTTAATAATTATATTGCAATTGTGTAATTAAGTCTCCTCTGTTCTAGCAATTCCTGTTGATAAGATCAAGGTTTTTCTTTTTGCTTTTTATTACACTGCTCAGGACGGTCAGGAAAAAAAAAATCAGCCTTTTGAGTTGAAATTTTTCATGCTTTGAGCCCAGGAGTTTGAGAGACTGAAGAAACTTCAAGTTAGCAATCTGAGTTACAGCAAGGAAAGCCAACTCTTGTCATATCTGTGATGTGTTTGTGACTCAAAAGGTGGAGGAACTTTAAAACTGGGAAGTTTTCAAAATACAAAATACCAAGGTCAGGTCAAAAATGCACCTCAGTAGCCCTCTCCTAAAGCATTCTGAGGTTTTACTTCCTTGTGGCAGCCCATCCCAGTCCTCAGACACTGCAAATTTTCCCTCCTCATAGGCATTCAGAGGACATGGAGGTGCTTTCCCACTCGGCTGTGCTTGTTCTTAAAAATCAGGCAATACTTAGAGACAGGACTTACGTTTCTGAACTTGGCAGTCCAGGAATCCGTGTGATCAAGGAGCTGTCGGTTCATTGTCACCCGTGCCCAAACCTACGGAAACGTTTATTAAAAACATATAAGAACTTAAGAGAATACCAGTTTTTAGGGTCTATATTTTCTGGTACTAACTACAGCATGTAATTAAAATCACATTTTCCTCTCAAATTTTTATACATCTGCTGGCCGTATCACACGACTTTCTACAGCAGCCTCACATGAGGCACTCCTGCTCTCTACTGATGGCACAATCATTTTGCATGAGGCTAAATTTGGTTTTAAGCTCTCTGCTATATTAGGATAAAACTGGCCTGAATTGTAGGATCGATTTAAGAGGTATTTGAATGGGAAGCTTCATTAGGTTAACGTGGGAAATAAAGAAAATTGGTTAAATTTAGCTGAATTTACAGGATTTGTATTTCTTCGCATCAGCCTTCTTTCAGATGCAACCATAAGGGGAGTGCTTCAGCGATTCCACTGGGTTAAACACAGAACAATTTCAACTCATTTTTTATGTCACAAATGGATTTTATCCAGCATACGCCTTGGTCTTTACGGGAGAAATCATTTTTCAACTAAAATTCAGAATGTGCAAAGTCCATTTACAGTGAAGCTGTATGAAGATGGTTATAAACACTAGAGCATTTATCTCTCTCCAACATTTTTTATGCAGCCCAAATCCAAAGTTTTGCATGAAGCTGTGTATTTTAGAGGCCTGTTTTTTCCTCTCAACCACGTTCCTGCCGAATTTACCTCTTCTGCAGCCTGTTTTGAGCTCAGATCAGCTTCATCCTTGTGTGCTGATGGAGCCTGGGACCTGCAAGCCGGCTGATATTGGAACTTCCTCAGCATCTGTGCATAGTCTGTCATGGAGCGGCTGTAGTTCCAAAAAGTTGGGCTGCTGGAAGGAGAGCTGGAGTCTGAACTTCCTGAAACGATTCATCCATTAAACAGTCACGTGCAATTATTGCCAAGTAATTCAGGAAGCACCAGTGCAGGCAACAGGTCAGTGTGTTAAGGCTTTAACAAGAGACACGAACATGAACTGCCAAGAATACACACACTGAAGTCAGTCTGCACTAACACTGATTTTTTTCACCCTTATCTTGACTGTCCTTATCCAGGACCAAAACTGCCTGCAGGTAATTCACCTCCTTCATCTGAAATCCCTTCTCCACAAGATATCCCTCTCATCAAGGTGATAAAACCCAACATCTTATCATGGTCCACCACAGCCAACAAATGCTAGAAACAACCTATCAGCACCCATTTCCATCCAAAGAAATGCTTTGGAGGAAATCTTTCTGAAGCTGCTAAGCCACGGCGACGTGTAGAAATGATGGTGTCCTACCTCACGTCCTAATTCCTCAGCAGAAGACTAAACAATTCAGCAGCCGCCTTTCCCAAGGTCATGGGTGAATACCATAAATGAGTTAGGTCTATTTACTGGTAACTTTCACTGGAATCCTTTGCAACTTTCCTCATCTGCAAAAGAACTCTTGAAGAAAACCCAAACTTTCTTACTAAGCTTTTCCAATAAAATCTGTTTGTGTATTTATTTATCAGTTTATTTACCTAGTTGAACTCTGTGCTGTTTCTCCTCTTCATTTTGAAGGAAGGTGTCCAGGGCCTTGAGGTCTGTCATGTAGTCTTCTTTGCCAGTAGGAGAATTGTACAGAATGGGTGAAGAGCGGTAACGAGACCTCAGCCCACCACTTTCCAGTGCTCCAACACTGGTGGGGTACAGGGCCCCACTGGGAGAGGGGCTGAAGTTGGAAGCCTTGGGCAAATAAAAACAAAAAGTTGCGTCATATGAGGAAGACAGAATTCCACCTTGATTTGTAAAGGACATGAACATAAAAGACTCTTGTTTGGGCTTTGGGTTGGCCTTTTTTTTTCCCCCCCCTCACCTTTGTATTTACATTTTAGTTTCTTAATTTTGTTTTGTTCTTAAACTAACAAACCTCTCTAAAACAAATGAAGTAACACGAGGGAGAAAGGACAAATCCCGATACCACAAATTTACGTCTACTTTGCAAAAGGAGCAAACACACAAATACACAACTCTCTGCTGCCTGCTGCTCACCTCTGATGGCATTTGGCACAATGCAAGGACCAAACCGTACCCCTGGAAGCTGTCTCAGTCATTACCTTATTGTAGCTGCTCGTTGGTGAATAGCTTACAGCACCGCCGTATGAAGCGCTGTTGCTTGACAGAGCTTGTAGCTGAGGGCTGTACCCTGTGACACAACCTGTAGTAAACTTTGGACTGGTGCTGGGGGAGCGGGACGGGCTGTAACTCAGCACACTTTGACCCTGGATGGGAGGAGAAGGTGTCGAAGATGGGGTTTTCTTTGCTGTCAGCTCACGTGGTGGAGTTGTCTGTACGGCTGCAATAAGAAAGAATAGAATTAGCGCTGGGGATGCAGCAGCCCCAGATTCTCCTCCCCAATTTAAACACGCAACAAAATGCACACACAGTGCTATCTTAAGGTAGTTTTATACATGACCACAGCTCAGTACAAATCTTACAGCTTCAGGCTTCAGTTAAACGTTACCAGACACCCAGGGGCCTTTCTCCAACCTATTTAATCAACTACTCTACCTGAGTACTGCATGCATCTTTGAATGTCTTAATTTATCTGTGCAAATAAACAGAGGAGATCCTTGAACTCTGGTGACACAGCATTACTTCTGCCTGCCTCCTGTTTTCGAGGGGCACACTAGGAGAGTGCAGTACTACTGTGCTACCATTTTGCTTTTGGGTTATTTACCTTGTCAGATTCGGCTGCATTTTAAAACTTGGCTTTGATCTTCAAAAGCTTTTTGAGCACCTGCTGTCTGCACTGTCATTTTCAGACTTCACACCAAGGTCTGTCAGTCCCTCTAATTTGGTTCTCGTTACCCAGCATGATATCAGAAGAATATCAAAATTAAATATAAATCTGGACTCTCTGCCTTGCTCCTAGTCCCATGTATAGCTTACAAATTCCTTCTCTAGCCTCATCATGTCCTTCAGCAGCCACTGTCATCCTGTCCTTTTTCACCCTGTGTGTTTTTCCCGCACTTCTCCCCAAACACTCATCAAAATACCACCTGATGTTATGAATTTTAATACACAGCAGGTAATTCAGTTCACCGCTCGTGTCAGATGAGTAAATTCAGAACTCAGTTCATTAAAGAATCCTGCACTTGGGAAAGATACCAACTCAAAACAGAAAACAGTAATAATACTGTTGTAATGTAATGTAAAAATGTAAAAATACTGTGACATATTTATTACACCTACCTGCATTCTGCAAGCCCAGCAGGGTCTGCTGGCTGGGACTCATGACCAAGCTCATCGGTGCCACGGTGTATTTGAAGTACCTCCAGAAATCAAGCAAGGCGTTCAAGCTGAACAGAGACGCAAGTGCAAGTTCTAGAAGAAACACAGAAGTTTTTACCATAGTTTAAGCCCAGGGAACAATAAAAGTCTATTATTGGCAAAAACAGGCATATACCCATTAGAAATAGGTCATTTTTTTAGTGCTATCAATAAGAACCAATGAAATCAAGTATCTAAGATTTCACCTTCTTATGCAAGAACCAACAGAGATAATTTTCCTTCTAATTTATATTGCTAAAATTGAATTGTTAAAAATGTCCTTTTCCACAAGAGACATAAACTACTGTTTCACAGCATTTCTCAAAAATGGTCTTCCATCAAATCATCTGTTACTCATCTCAGGATTTTTCTCTCCTTTTTGCTTCAACCTCTAGAAGTATTTGATACAACCATCTTAAGAGTTACTCATCATCCAGCGAGATCTGGACAGGCTGGAGA